CCCCCAACCCCCCCCCCCCCCCCACCTTCCCTCCTCCTCATCCTATTATAGGAAGGGCCTAAAATCTCCTTCAGGAGAGAGCGCAGCTAAGGTATACACTTCCCGGGTACATCTCATAGTAAATGCAACTATTCGCACCCCAATTTGGCCTTGTGCAAGAAGGCCGTCGAGGAAACGCATCTTTAACCTCTCGCAACACAAACACAATCTATAACAAGTGACAAATCCTCAAATTTTAACCCAATTAAAGACCAATCAGAAGCAACCAAGATCCACAATTCAAAATACCCAACATTACAGCGAATACAATAATGAATTAGTATTCACAACAATTATATAAAAAGAAAATACATTTAAATAACCACAACCAATTCTCCAAAAGCTATAGCTAGTAGAAGAGGAAAAGTCAAGCCGTTTATCACCCAAATCAAGTCTGGCCGTCTGGGTGGAATGTTACTTTGAGAATCCCTTACGAGATAAGCACATATTCATCATTCAAATTTTAACCAATTGTACGCAGATCAAAAGCAACAAGGCTCCAGATATCAAAATACTCAACAATACAGCAAACATGATATATAATGAATTAGTATTCACAAAAATTACATGACTTGTATTAAAAACAATACGTATATAATAACCACAATAATTCATCAAACACCCAATCTCAAAAAAGAAAAAAAAATTTAAAAACTGATAATTTTCCAAGTAATAGAGGAATAGTAGTAATACTGTAGAAATCTCAGCTCCTGCAACGAGTGATGGCACTGCAACCACGGGTGTAGGGATTGGCCTGAGCACCAGGACGGCAGTTGTAGTAGGAGGCGCCGCGGCGGGAGCAGGGGACTCTATTCTTCTGGAGAGCACCGTAGCTAATGTACCGGCGAGTGGCTAAGATACGCCGATTCGACTCCGAATCAAGCTCGAACTCCTCCTCCTCGTCGGTATCCCCAAGGCACTCGGCTATGGTTCCTTTGCAACCAGATATCATCATCGGCATCAGCCACCCCACATCCGCCGCTGCCGCAGCGACTTCGCCTCCAGCCGAAACTTGGGAAATCAGCAGAGATGCGATTATGCACAGTACCGTGAAAATCATTGAAGTCAAACTTCTTCTTGCCATTATATTCATCAGCGTTGAAATGCAATCTTTGCTTAGTTTTTGGTAAAGTTTTCACCTGGGTCTTTCTCAGACTTGTGATTGTGAGGTGTGGCTTTGTTTGATCTTCTCTTCTGCTCTGCCTGTTTCTCTCTATATGTATATGTGCATGTACAGGTGTGAACGGGACAGAGCAAATGTGAGTAAGAGGGAAGGGAGTTGAATTATATATAGATGATAATTGCTCAATGCGTACCGACGAATACATTTTTTTTTTATTATTTAATTAATTTAGGCGTGGGTGGCCACTACTCTACTCGTAAGGATAGAATTTCTTCGCTCGTAGAAAATTGTAAACGATCGTTGAGGTCGAGAGCGTTGATTTTGTCACAACAAATTCTCTTTTTATTTAAAGCATTTTTCAAAAATATTACTGAAAATGTTATTGTACCGAAAATATGCTAAATTTAACATCAGAGCTTCGACTCGATCGGTTGTCTCGCGAGAGCTTGGCCTATAAGGTGACTTGTAATTTCTACACGAGCTCGAATTTCGTCCAAGCAATCTGTACGAGCCCACCCCCTAAAGCTCTTGAGCTTTGCAAGTTAACCTCATGGATCGCTGCGTACGTATTGGCTGAATTTTTTTTTAAAGTTCAAATTACGAATTTCAAAATAAGTTATGTTATTTTTTGTTGATTTTGACCTATCCCATATATATGGCTAATTGGTTGTTGACTCTTGACATTGTATATTCCTAATTTACTCATCGATTCACAATTTTGTTGTATTACCAAAATATGTAAATACAGTTATCTTCTCTCATTCTTGTGTCTCCTTGTTCCTTTATTTCAAAAGGTTAGAATTTATTAAATTTTTAAATTTTATTTTTTTAAAAGATATACACGTAATAGCTTGTGTGTAATTTTAACTTCGTTTACATTTAACAAAGCCAATCTAAAGCATGAAAATGGGAAGAGGGTTTTTATCTCGTATTAAAAATTGTCTACAATCTAACATGTCCTATTTTTCCAAGTAAATATGTTGTCTAATCATATCGTGGCAGTAATTTTAAAATAAATTTATTTAAAAATCGAAGATATTTCATTCGNAAATTTCCACTCTCTAAAAATCTACGTCGAATCAAGGCAAAACTTAAGATCATTACTCTTAAACATCTTAGCATTCTCCAATTGAAGTGTCTTTTTAAGCCAAAATAACAATAAAAATATATCTTTCTTTCTCTCTACAAAATCTCACCCAAACAAACGTAAATCCCCCTCCCCCTGAAAGGGGCAAGCCCTACGAAAATTTTGGCAAGAAACTTGATAGCCGACTTTGAATAATAAAATTTTTTTTTAGGTCAACAATTTAACATCGTCTGTGAAAATACTTGCAAAAACCAAGAGGAACACAAAAGGCCAAGTAGCACAAGTGTAAGTGGATCGAGTAATGATTAACAAGCAGTTATCGGCTATTCCAAAAGAGAATTGCTAGAGACGAAGGAGCAAATGAGCAAAAAGGCTAGCCAAGTTGAATCAAACTGTGGCCAATATAGCCACCAATATGTAATACTTTACCAAAAATAATGCAGTTATACAACAATTTATGCTACGACAAGGCAAAGCAGCTCCACCTCCCCAAGATGACGAAAGTGAGAGTATTGCTAAAGGCTTTAACCAAAGGAAGCATCTCATTTTTCTCGCTGGGTAGCTAACTTGCATATTGACCCGCTACGCATGGCGAGACGAGCATCCCATTATGAGCGAGAGTCTCCACTTTCGAGGCTGCAAGTGTTTCCAATAGGTTAGGAGGTACTAAGGCCATCTAGGATGAGCCCCAAAGACAATATGGTGGGAAAGTTTGGAAAAGGGCTAGTCAATCCTTCAAATGGGAGGACTGAGATTCTCCAATGGGAAGCATAAAACTATGCTAGAGGATATGGATGATAATAAAGAATATGCTCCCTTCTCCAATCGGTACTTTGCTTATAGTCATGGTTTGTTGCATTTTGTGTTGTGTATTTTTTGGTAAAATGATAACACATTTTTAGTTATGTTTTTCTAATGAAAAAAATGTGAATTTTCAATTTTGGCAAAATGAAAAGTTTTTACAAAAATTTTGATGGCAAAATAGGTCTAAGGCAAGTACGAATAGTAAGATGTGTTTTAATTGCGGTAAATTTGAACATGGTAAAATAGACTGTCCTAAAAATGATAATTAAAAAAAAAAGGGGGGGGGGGGGGATAAAGAGAGAAGTGAGGCAAATGTTGCCACTGGGTCGAGTTATGACCCAAGTGAGGTTTATTTAGAGTAAACCTAATTATTGCACGTGCAACTACTTATAATCTTTTCCGCATGTTTGATATGTTACACTTTCAATTTTATTTGTGTATGTAACTACATAAATTAATGTGGTATGATTATTTTGTGTAATGCGTTTGCATGCAAAGTAGGTTGAGATCTACAGCATACTCCTTTTGCTCTATGGGTGGAGTGAGAGAGCATGATAGTGAGAAGAAAGAAGGACAGTCATTTTCTCATTTATCTTTATGAGCTTGTGTGGTTTATTAGATTATATGTGGTAGCCATGTGTGGGTTATCTTCTTCCTCTTTGTAAGCCTCTTTTGTAAGTATAGTGAAATAGCCAATTCTTTCTTCTTCTCTCTTTGTGAGTGTAACCTTCACCCTTCCCTTTGTGGATAAATCCTTTTTGGACCTTTTTTAGCATTGGTGTTCGATAACCTTGTGGTGCGTTAGCCTATTTAAATTTGAGCCCTAAAATTTGTAGTCATCAAATGTGTCAATTTGCTATAGTGGATTTTTTGGGATGCATTAGCAACAGGGATGTCTGTTGTTGATGTTGAGTATGAATGCCTAAGGGCACATTGGTGGTACATACTGGGAATGTAGAGTGTGATATTTGGATCACGAGCAGTGAGGTGATTAAATGTCTGAAATACTTTATTTTTGAAGATTCTGATCATGTGTAGTGTGAGAGTGACATTTCTATTACTTTTGTCACGTGGGAATCCACTATTCACCTAGGTTGGGGGAAGTGAGGTGATAATAGAGGATTATCTCGTAGACTTATGATACATTATGATTTACCAGTTAGACATGAGTTGAGTAACCAGTCTAGTAAGCATGGTGGGTAATGGGAGATGTGTTTTCGAGGTGTGGACAACACAGAATGGGATATGATAAATGTGGTGAAATCTTTTTGTGGGTTTATTTATTCGTTTGTTGCACATGCGTTTGGCGATTTGATTAATCAATTTGGTGTTAGTATGTCGTTCTGTGTGAACATATTTAAAAAGATCTATGTATTCTCCCATGTTATATCTTTTCGCATGTTTATTTGTTCTTAATTGATTAATGTGATAACTTATTTCTACTTGGATGTTTGTTTACCTTAGTCCTAATGAGTACATAGAGCAGGTATGGTATGTGTTTCTTGTCTAAAACACGAAGTAAAGTATACGATACCAATTTTATGGATTACTTTGGTTATGCAAGTATAAAACTCCGTATTTTGGTTGGTTGTAGATTGATTGAGTATCAAGGTGGGGATTTGTTAGATTTCAATACCTAATAAATCCGGGCAATGATTTAAAATAGATGTCGGATATTTATCGATGCCATAGGCTTGGCTCGACCCGAAGATGACCAATACCCATTTATTGGTTTAGGCTTTGGTTTATTGGTGGCCCATTTACCTTATGTTGGCCAATTGAGTGACCTAATGTTATACATATATGTATGTGGAAATTACACCACATAACTATTATTTAATTAAATTTTAAATATTACTTGTCAACATTTTTTTTTTTCAAAAATACTATAAATTTATAGTAAACATAAAAATGTAAAAGTCCAACTAAATTATACAAGCAATAATTTTGGTAGCCAATCTTACTCCCCCAAACATGCTTTTTTTTATCACAGTTAACCAAAATCACAAATCCCTAAATGGTGCATTTTTACAACTGCAAAAAAAATCGTCTCCAACCATAAGATTCTCCAAAAATCCCTTAAACCCTACCGAAAATTACACCACAGATATCAAGCAAAACCTTCCAAAATATTATTACACCAAATCACAATCATTATCTGCATTGATGGAAACTCACAATAGCAATTCCAATTTGTGCTCCCACAAGAGCATGCAAACAGTCGGAACCAAGAATACTGATTCTGATACAAGTCTTCCTACATCACTTGCCTCTGTATGGTGAAAATGAAAAAGTAATTTGAATCACTATATTGACATTGCTCTAACTACATAATTGATCCAAGTGATTTTGAATTTGTTCTAGCTACAAACTTCAAGGAGCAAAATAATTTTCAGTAACCTGCTTGATCAATCAATATATTAACAGACAACAGTTTGAGTGACTTTCAGACTTCATCTTTTTGTTCACTTTTAATATGTTAAGATCCTAAAGGGGTAAAAGTTCTTATGCCAAATGGTAACAGCAAAAATTTGCAGACATAGTAATTGGGTATCTGTAAAGGCAACCCCCAGTCGAGAGCAAAAAAAAATTCATATGCACAATGATTATCGCAATTATGGATAGTGTTTATGAAATTGTTATAGGGCGGAAACATCTTCGGAACAAGAAGGTCTACAAAATTAAATTTGACATCAACCAGCTACAACTAACGATAGCAAATGAGCCATACATGTAATTCTAGCTCAATACTCAATATAATGAAGCATTTCATTCTTTGATACAGAGGCAAAAACTGTTCTTCCATTTTGCAATTCCTTTAGCAATCTCGTTCAAATTGACTCACTAACGTGAATTACTTTCCTACAAAAGGTTATGGAAGTCCGAGCAATATGCATCCACCTAGAAGACCTTTCTATAACAGATGTGAGACTGGTGGATGTCAATACCATGTCTGAACTTTGATAGTGCAAATATTGTTCTAATATCAAGTCGAATAGATACAAGCAATTGCATGAATTCATCGATGATTTGTGCTTGTGATAAGATGTCCCATTTAAGAGGATGCACATATTGGTTACTAATAGTCCCTAGTTCACTCCACCTAGCAAATACTACAAAAAGTCGGCTTGATTCTGTGACGGTATGCTTTCATGAACCTGTGTTTCTTGGTAAGTCCCTTGATTGGTTTGATTGTCAAATTTCATGTTACGTTAAATTCACAAATTTGGAGCTTTCAAGTGCTAATACTAGCAGAGATCACCAATAA